GGGAGGGAGAGGTCAAAATATTTTAAATGTTCCGGACTTTAGTAGAGTTTAACATGTGTTAACTGCATGGTTATTTAAAATCACCAAAACACATTAAAATAGTCCCCTATAATGGCGCAATAGCCCCCCAAAAAGTCTACATTGTACTATGTTATACATGGATAGCTTGGGATCCAAATATATTTTTACATAATAACAAACTTTATTCTAACTTGTGCAGGCCCCTCCTGGGGATTTCATGAGTCCCCCTTGAAGGCCTTAATTAGAAATACTGGCTACATCACTGCTCAATTCCATTGTCAATGATGGTGTTAGCATGATTAGAGTAGATTAACAAACTAGTGTGTATTATGAGATAATCCATTGAACACCAGTGATCTATCCCAACATATAAAATCATCTGGTGTTAGACAGTCAGAGTAAAATAAAAAGTAGGTCACAATGTATAATTTAATAGGTAAGGTTAATGGCCAGAACTAAATGATAAACAACAGGGCTCGACCTGGGCCCCGGCCCAGGCCAAAATTGGCACCCCCGGCCCAGGCCCGGCCCCGGCCAAAATTCTGGAAATTTGGCCGGGGATTTTAAGGTCAAATTTGTCAAATTCTTTTTATTATTGTCTTATAATTGTCAAGATTCAGGGAACCTTAGCAAAACTAAAAACGTAGTAAAAACGTAGTAAAAACTAAAAACACTGTTGATTCAGAGTCCAGACTTCAGAGACCACTCATCATTGTGTCTAGTTCTGTAGTTCCACTGGCCATAGTCCATAGTCTCTACTCTTCAGTCTTCATCGTCGCTCATGATTATTTCGACGTCACTCGTCTCGTCATCATGAACCTCTCCCACCACGGCCTCTGGCAGGTTCCCCTCGTTGGGGGCAACGAAGTCATCCGTTACCCTGGGTAGGTCCGTTTTGTATCCTAGAGCTCGAATATTGTACTTCAAGAATAGATTCGCTTCCATGTTATCAGGTTTTAGCGAAAGCCTCTTCGTCCCAAGAACGTTCTTTCCCGTACTGAATAGCCTCTCTGATGTAGCACTTCCTGGAGGAGGGCACAGGTAGCGGCGCCCCAAAGTTCCTAGATGTGGGAATTCGTTGTGTTTTACTCTCCAGTATGTCAGTGGATCCTTTGTCAAATCAGCTATTCTTTTTTCTTTGAGGTATCGTTCTAGTTCCACCCTGTAGGGTGCCTCCATCTCTTCATCTTGTGAATCCTGACCCGAGTCATTGTCAACGAGAACCGCAGCCCAACTATCTTTGCTGGTTGAAGGTTTGTTTTCGCCACTCTCCACTTCATGTCTTGGTTCCGCAACCTCCGCTAAATCGCTGGGAGTGGTAAATAGGCAAATAGCTATTATGTTATGTATAAACTAATAAAACTATGTAATGTATTACGTAAATTTAATCATCTGCATTTGGAAAATCACAGACCCCAGTGTGTGATACTGTGATAACTTCGTGAGAATTGAGAAAGCATTTAATTTGAAAATTTCAAATTAAATGATAAGTAAGCCAAGCCCCACCTGATAATCATCTCCTTCGCGAGTACACCGTTCTCCTTCTTCTGAAAACCAGCAAGCTTGAACTTGGGGTCCAAGACTGTCGCAATACTATACTGCTTTGTCTTTTCTATGTCGTACTTTACAACAAAATATCTGAAATTGAGTTAGACTGTTCGGTGCCTACTTACCTACCACCATGCTTTTTAAAAATAAAAAATATTATGTATTATCTAACCTCTTCATTTGCTGTAGGACTTCTGCTTTCAGAGTTCCTATCCCAGAGTATGTGATGGCTCCAATGTCAAAGTTAATTTTCTTCAATAGCGGGATGACTTCATCTATGGAAACGGTGTCAGATTCTGCAGCTTTCGTAGTAAGGAATATGGGCTTCAGAATGGCGATGACTTTGTCAACCAGTTCCCAGTTACCAGGGTTCATCTGATTGGTTGAATGAGTTAAGACTTAAGAATGCTATTAGCTTATTACATCATAGTAAGTAATCATACGAATGATACGATCATGAGTGATGACTGATGAGTCACATTATTATATCTTTATATAATGAGTATTGAGTAATGAGTGTAATATAATAATATATTAATATGGCATTAAGAAATAAGAACTATAAATCTATAATGCTGGTAAAGTTAAATTTTCAAACTTGTCCTAAGTTATATAATGACAATTTCTGCTTGTTTTCATGCTTGTTTTCAACTTAACTAACCTATTGTCGTGCCTCGAGTTTCAACTCCGGATCTTGCTGGCTGAGGGTAATAGCTGCTTTCTTGGGGGTCACACACTGCAGCATTAGATAATACAAGCTCCATCGGGTGTCACACGCCGTTATCAAGGCGGTGTCAGTGCTTTGGTTCTCATTCAAGAACCGTTTACCTGTAAGAAGTTTGTGTAAAATGATATCAATTTATTATCTGATGGTGTGTTAACTTACTGTACTAGAAGTCTAGAACCCGATTCAAGACATAATTGACCTTATTTTTTAGTTACCTGTTGGAGTCCGAAATTTGATGATTAAATTCTTCACTTTCTTCACTATCAGTTTAACTCCGCTCTGCTGGAATATTGAGTGCTTCACAACGAGAGCCAAGAGGTGCAGAAAACATGCGATCCAGTTGAAATCTTCAAAAGATTCTTCATGTTGGCTGCTGATTCCGAAACGACACAGTGAAGTCTCGCTTCTGGCAACACCCACTTGTGAAGTACATATCTGATCCGTGTTTTGATCGATTCCCCTGTGTGGCTAGCATTATAGGGTAGACATCTTATCACTACAAGTTTTCTGTAGAAATCCTCTGAAATTAAGTGGACTGTAACACCAAGGTACGAGTCTAGTGCCAACGACGACCAAATGTCGCACGTTATGCAGAAGTAGATCCCGGCTGTGATAGCTGTTGACAGAGATTGCAGCAAAGCTCCTTGAGCATTTTTGTAGAATTTGGCATCATCGTACAGCGGATGACCTTCTCACCTGGGATGTTAAACTTCTTATTTAAGGCAGCTAAAAAACTTTGAAATTGTTGATTCTCAACCACTGTGTACGGTTGTAGATCATCAAAAATCCAGTTCAACGAGAGTTTCTCGGCCTGGACTTGATTAGGTGAATCGCTCGCCCATTCCTGGTTTCTTGTCAGGAAATCTTGAAGCGATGGCTGCGCCTGTTCAAGTTGGTAGAGTTGACTCTTGGCTGCAAGGACCGCATTATCCAGCTTCTGCTTCTTAGATGTATATTCTTCTTGAGCAGCTTTCGCTAGTTTGTGTTGCTCCTTGTGCTTGGAATTTAAGTGGTCCCAAAGACCCTTAACAGAATAAGCTTTCTTTGCTGCATCGGCTTTACCTCTCGCAATCTTAGTAGAGCACAAAGAACATTTAGCAATGTGTGGAGTATCAGCGATAATATTGAAGTATGCCCAAACCTCAGACTCTTTCCGCTTTGCTGCCATACCTGGCTAAATAATGATAATCTAGGTGTTAGTAATTAAAATAATATGTTTCAGGTTGCTTAATGAAATTGACTGTAGGTACAAAATTGACTGTAGGTATATCGAAAGCAACAAACAGAAAAGATACGTACCATTTATTCTCGTAAACTGTTTCCAATATGGCTGACGATAGCAATAAACCGCTGTCCAGTAAATTCCACTGGCCTTTCCAAATCCCGCTTAAATAACATCGCTCAACATCATATAATATCAATGTTCGACCAGTCCCCGGCCCCGGCCCCGACCAAAATATGCACCCCCGGCCCGGCCCCAACCAAAATATGCATCCCCGGCCCCGGCCCGGCCCCGGCCCGGCCCCGGCCAAAATCATGCCCCCGGTCGACCACTGATAAACAATATATTATAATAAACCCAAATTGGTTCAGCACCATTGGTTCTTATAACACTGTTCATTCCAATACTAGAACATCAATTGTCATTAATTAAAATGTATTTCAGTTGG